ACAATCCCCAGAGCCTCATTTTTTAAACGATTTTTATTTTATTTTGAGAGAGAGAGAGAGAGAGCACGAGCAGAAAGGGCAGAGGGAGAAGGAGATAGAATCTCAAGCAGACTCCACACTGAGCGTAGAGCCTGATGTGGGGTTCTATCTCACAAACCTGAGATCAGGACCTGAGCTGAAACCACGAATCGGACTCTTAACTGACTGTGCCACCCAGGTGCACCCCCGGAGCCTCATTTTAAAGGCTTGTTTGCATTCGGTTTCTTGGGGGCTAATTGCACATGCAGGGATGGGAATTATATAATTGGGAACTTTGACTCTCAGAGTAGCACCAAATTGTTGGCATTATCTCTTAAAATGTCTAATAGTGGTTCATTACCATGATTTCAGAAATATTCATCAATGTATTTCGGTACATTCTCCCCACAGAAGGTAGTAGAATAAATTATTTTAATTATCTGGGAAGGTATTCATTACTTTTATAATCATAAAGTTGTCTTAGGGACGCCTGGGTGGCTCAGTTGGTTAAGCAACTGCCTTCGGCTCAGGTCATGATCCTGGAGTCCTGGGATCGAGTCCCGCATCGGGCTCCCGGCTCGGCAGGGAGCCTGCTTCTCCCTCTGACCCTATCCCTTCTCATGCTGTTTCTCTCTCTCTCTCTCAAATAAATAAATAAAATCTTTAAAAAAATAAAGTTGTCTTAGATTTGAATGAACCAACTAAACATAAAGGTATTGATCCAATTATGTTAGTCACTGTCTTACCCTAATTTCTATCATAACCACCTCAAGTCTAGTGCAAGAAACGAACACAAATAGATAATTAAAATATAATTTGTTAAGTTGGGAAGAGCAGTCACAAGACAGTATGAGGCTATCGGAGAAACAGTCAAACCTAGCTTTGAGGAAAACAAGAAAGGTCTGGCTGAGCTAGCTCTGAAAGACAGCAGGAATTACCTCAGCAAAAAAGGGAGGATGTATGGTTCTTGCAAGAACTGCGGGTTCAAAGGCTTGGAGACAGGAGAAAGAGAATGAATTCCAGAAACAAAAAGAAGTCTGTGAAAGAGCTGAGACAAGAAAGATGAAATTTATGCCATGATGCTAAAGAGCTTTACCATGATCATTACAGAGAGCCAAAGAAGAGTTTTAAAGGGATTTGTGTTTTAGGAAAATCATTTCAGCAGCCACTGTGAGTAGATGGGCATGGAGGCAGTGAAGACAGACCAGCTGAGAGATGAAACAGGCAGATTCGATCTAAGTTAGCAGCAGTGGGAACTGAGAGATGGGGGAGGATTCTGGAGGTATTAAGGAAGTAGAATCAAAAGGACTTTATGACCACTTTTAAATATCACTGGTGATTCAAAGTTTTCTGGCTTGGACAACGGGGTGGTTACATTAAATAAGATAGAGAATAAAGGAGGAAAGGTCAAGATGGAGGAGGAAAAATGGTAAAGTAACTTGGAAAATTTTTTACTTTGAAAGGAACGTGAGGCATAAAATGAGATTTCTTACCTAAGATTAAAAATGTGGTGTATTTTGTTTCTGCTCTTCGGATGGCCTGGGATAGAGAAATCCTGTAAGTAACTGGCTGGGGAGGAGAGGGGCACTAGCTTCACCCAGCACAGGGAAGCAATGTGGAGGGCCCTTAGAGACAAACAAAGAGCAGCCTCCTGTTGGGAGGGTAGATTGGCAGTTTTATTGTCCAGGAGAAAGGATATAAATAGCCCCATTGCATCTGTATGTCTAAACAAAACAGCCAAGGAAGGTGATGGTGATCAGGGGTTGGGTTACCAAAAGTGACAATGTCTTAGGCTACTAGACTTTATATTTTAGATGGCTCATGCTCTGAGAAGTAGCATGTGCATAAGGACAAGGTTGAGGGACTTCTATAAATAACCCTATGATAGTTGCTTGAATGTAAGACTTGAAATTCACCATGTATTCTAGCATATTCAAGAATATGCCCAGGCTACCCACTGCTAGCTATCAGAGCTCTTCATCATGGTCACAGGTCAAAATACCTAGTACTGAAAGCCATACAACTCATTTTTTATCTTTTCCCAAATGCAAACAGGAAAATAATCAAAACCATTTTTAGCTTACATGGAAGAATATCCCGATATCTGTTTTTTTCTCTGTTGCGTAGTTCATTCCCAGAGTTGAACGCATCAGGTATGTTCTTATAATCTAAAGTCTTTAAAAGGTAAGAAATATAAGTCATGTATTTACTATAACAAAAAGATAAAGAAAAAAATCTGCTCTTGCTTAGTGTTCATGATCCTTAAACTTCTATATGGCATGACCTGGTGTTAAATGTGTTGTATGATAAGTGAAGTCAGAATCCCATTAAAAATACTATATACTGAGGGTTTCAGAGGGGACGGGGGTAGGGGATGGATTAGACTGGTGATGGGTATTAAGGAGGGCACATACTGCATGGAGCACTGGGTGTTGTACGAAAACAATGAATCATGGATCACCACATCGAAAACTAATGGTATTGTATGGTGACTAACATAACATAATAAAATAAAATTTAAAAAAATAAAGAAAAAAATAATAAAATATCTCAAATTTGAGATGTCAATCAACAAGTTGCTTGATAAGAAAATACTAATCTTGGGATGCCTGGGTGGCTCAGTTGTTAAGCGTCTGCCTTCAGCTCAGGTCATGATTCCAGGGTCCTGGGACCAGGTCCCGCATCAGGCTCCTGCATCAGGCTCCTTGCTCAGCAGGGAGCCTGCTTCTCCCTCTGCCTGCCGCTCCCCCCCCCCAGTTGTGCTCTTTCTCTCTCTGTATCTATCTCTCTCTGACAAATAAATAAATAAAATCTTAAAAAAAAAAAAAAAGAAAATACTAATCTCTCTGGACATACTTTTTCCTTTGAACTTCAATATTTTCCTTTTCATTAAAAAAAAAAAAACAATAAAGAACATTCACCTCTTAGGACCTACTCATTAATCTATCATTTTATAAACAAAAATAATAAAATAACAGCAAGAAAAATATATAAATATATAAACCAAAAAGAAAAAAAAGTCTCACAATTTACTCCTTGCCCCATGAAGGAATTATAGCCAGGATACCAATTAAAGATTTCTTCCTTTCAAAAAAAATTCATTACCAAGTATGAATTCAATAAACATGACTGAACATTTAATACATACTTAGCATTCTTCTAGATATTGGAATAAAGAGATGAATCTGAAAATGGCCCCCTCCTTAAGGAGCTATCAGAGCAGTCTGAGGGGTAATCAATGCCACAGAGATGTTAGTACAATGGTAGTGCTGATGACTGCCATCAGAAGTTAGTCATATGAAAGTCTGTGTGTGTGGAAGGAAAGGAGAGCTGAGGTGAGCAGGTTATCACACCAGGTGGAAAGGACAGGAATAAAGGCATGGGGGCATACATCTCCTCTTGGAGAAACAGTGAATAGCATGGTAACAAGAGCAGAGAGAACATGATCTAGCCCAGACGGAAACTAAAACTACTTAGGAAGGCCTTGTTTCATATACAAAAGAAGTGGAGATGTATCCATCCCTAGTCTATTAGAATATTTGTGGATAAAGCCGAGAATCCGTACTTTTCAAAAGCTCTTCAGTAACCCTTGGGTAGCCAACTTGGCACCACCAGTCTTTAAATAAGTGTTGGCAACTACTGGCATGGCAAATGAGAAGCTAGTGAAGGTTTTAAATAGGATAATATGATCAGATTTTTACCTTTCTTATCTTTATGCAAGCCAATTATAAAATTAATTTGGAAAAATATCTGTAGGAAAAACTAGAACAATTTTGTAAAAGAAGAGAACTGAGGGAAGACTAGTATTAACAAACAGTAAAAGATAACATAAAGCTACACTAATTAAGAGAGCTTGGTACTAGTACATGAATAAACAAATCAATGGAAGAAGTCCAAGAATAAATTAAAATTTATGTAGAACTTCAGTATATAATAAAAGTGGCCTTTTACATCACTGAAGAACAATTTCAAGAGGATCTGGGGACAACAGGATAGCTATATAATGCTGAGTCCCTACCAAATACCTTAAATTCTAGCTGGATCCATTTTAAAAAATCACAAAAATATTAGAAAAAGACATGAAGTAATTATTATGATCCTAGAGTGAAAAGGGCACCTACAGGATACAGAAAACCCTGAAGTCCCCATAGATTGTCATATCTGATCACTACAAATTAGCTATTTCTTCTTACTAAATGTGTATATGTGCACATGCACACTTCTGTGTAGCACAAACAAGGGGGACAATTTACCATATATAGCACATACAAAAGAGACAGTTTCTTCATTATATAAAACTATTAATAAGAAAAAGAATAAACAGAAAATTGGGCAAAGAATCGGAACAGTTCACCAAAAATAAATATAAAAAGCTTAAAAACATATGGAAAGCTATTCCTTTGTTCTCAAATAAGTGTCAATATAAATCAACAAGGAATCATTTGTCATATAAGACATAAGCAAAGATCCAAAAATTTGACAGCACAAAATACTGGTTGTGTTTCTAGTAACTTGTTATAAGAATACTCATACATATGCACAGCCATATGAGAGGGGTAATTGCTGCTCATAAATAACAAAGACTAGAAAAATCTAAATGTTCACCACAGGGGCCTACTTAAAGAAAAAAAGTCTTTATCTATATAATTAACTATACTATGAAATACTTAAAAATAATGAGATAAAAAATGAGATAGAGCTATATGTACAAATAATATATTTGGCAATTATTTCCTATGTGAAATATTTTTCTAAAAAAAAAAAGGAAAGAAGGGGTAGAATAGTTACCAAAGTACATGCTGATAGTTTTCTAGACACTTATATGACAAACTTAAATAGTGGAAAGGGGGCCTAGAAACTCAAGAGAGAAAAACAAAGAGACTATCCTTTTATAACCTTTTATGCTATTTAACTTTTCTTTTACTATATAAACCTATTACTTTAAAAACAAACTTAATATTTAAAAACAAAAAACAAAGTACTCAACCTAAAAGAAAAGATTAAAAAGGAAAAAGAAAAAACCCCTCTGTTAGTAATGTGGAAAATCACATACAGACTTTTGTTAAGACCAAAATATTTACCATAAATTCCTGGAGGATTTCAAATTCTGCTACTTTTTTCTCAAGCATTTTAAAACAATCCTTGATGACTGATTGCTCATGAAAATTGAATAGTAATGGTCGAACCTGAGCCAACTGAGCTAGCTCCCTTTCAGAAACAATTTGTATACCTAAGAAAAAGAAAAGTTCACATTTTTAAGCTACTCATATGTATGTGAAGGGAGATTTTATTTTGTCGTGTTTTCTCTTAAGTGAAGGCACAGCCACTTAAGGATTAATGGAAATTTATTTTTCCAGAAGTGAAGAGTCTATTACCTTGAAAGAAAGAATCCTTGTTTTAGAAAAATCATGACTATGTACCTTGAAATTACACAAAACCCACTATTCTTAGAAAAAACTGTTAAGTGCTATAAATATAAAAGATGCTATAGACTGAGAAGTATTCTGCTTTATAGTGTGAATTAAGTATATGTACTGACAATTGTGCCAAGGCAAGCATATACAAACAAGACTTGGATGGGAAAAAGTGAGAACTTTTGCCCTCCCTCAGACCAAGTATTTGAAAGCCCCTGGAGCTTTAGATGAGAGGATGTGGACAGTCTAACACACCTCTTACTCTAAAACAGATCAAGCACACATATGCACATACAGACACACACACAACACACATACACACACCCACCAAGGATAGAGAGGCTCTATATAATTAATAAGACTAAAAATATATATAATATGCAACATAATTATATATAATAAATATTTTGATATACATTATATAGTTACACATGTATAACCAATAATAATAGAAGAGAATACATGCTATTTAATAGTACACATGGAGGTTTTTTATTTTAATGATGATTTTTTAGGCCATGTTGACAGTCTAGATTCCAAATATCTGAAATTTTACAGATCATGTCCACTGACCAAAATGCAATAAATCTAGAAGTCAATATTAAAAGAATATTTTTTAAATTTCAGAATTTTGAGGTAATGTGCTCAAGTGAAGCCAGTTCTCAAAATCTCTTTCCAAAGCCAACTAATATGAACAAAAATCAAGTTAATATTAGCAAAAAAATATATACAAGAAGCAATTCCACAAAAGAATGGGCATAAAAAAGATAAAAGCTTCTAAAAATATGCACAGTGCTGTAAAACTCTTCTTGTCTTGGAACCCTATTTAACCAAAAGCTCTCTATAGGGGTGGGAGTAAGGGACTGTTGGGTTGGGAAAGACAGTCACAGAAATCCTAAAATTTCTCACAAATATCTCTAACCTTTGTATGAGAGGAGGTCTAGGAAGCCCAGAGGGGGAAATAAAATTCCACAAGAGTAGAAGCCATTTTGATCATCTTTGATCCCAAACAGAAAAATCCTTAGAGCTCTCCCCATGTATTCCAGCACTGCTGGAACAGAAGCTGAGAGCAGGGAAGAAGAGGAATAAAAACGTAGAATGACGGTAATGGACCCTGTCGTTGCTTTCCCAACACTGATTCTACCCTGATGGTTAGTTAGAGCCATATGTGATCATTCCACAATAATTCCCTTGCCAGTGAATAATTCAGCAATATGTAGGTGATTTGAGCCAATGGGAAGTAAGGAGAAGTTTACTCAGGGCTTATGGGCAAAAGAAGCAAGCCTTTCTCCCATCTCCACCCATTGTCCAGACATAAGTCCAGAGTATAATTATGGCCCTGATTATTACAAGCAGCCTTGCTGTGACATAAAAGGAATGAACTGAGTACAGCAAATATGAAAAAAAGAAAACATAAAAAACCTATGTTGTTAACGACATCACTGAGCGATGTGATCATATTGAACCTGGAATACTGCCTACCTTTGTACTTCCATTATGGGAGAAAATATGTTTCTTTATCGTTAACATCATTTTCAATTTGGTTTCTTTTTACTGCAGCCTGGCCCAAGAATTCCAATCAAGGTGAATAAGTCAGGCCTCAGCTACAGATCATGGCAATCATCGCAGGAGGGGAGTTTTTGCAGAAAGGCAGTTTACAGGAAGGGATTTTATCTAGCTGTTTGGTGCTGACATCATTGGACAGGTTAGAAGAGCAGGTTCTTCCCCATATCATGGTCCAAAAATAACACCACAAAATGGTCTGCCACAAGAGGAGCTAGCTCTGCTGTAATGAGGAATCTGAGGGAGCTGGACACCACTGCTGTAACCACTAGCTCCTGGATGCGACTACTTTAGCAACCATGGAGGAATTAGAAAGTCACCACTACACCTGCTGGCTCATAATGTACCACTTTAGTTATAATGAGACACTAGGAATGTTATGGTGTGTATCAGCAACACGGATGCTTCTCTTCACATTTCAGTCTTGGCTAAGTGCATATGATTGGCCAAACCCATACTAACTACTGGGATTTCTGGGAAATGTAATTTTCAGTTTTCTTGCCTGGACCCTACAGAAAGACACACTAGGAGGAGAATGTGATTAATGTTGAGTAAACTAGTCTTTAACATCTGCAACACAACTCATCCATACCCATTGAGTTTTCTGCTCTTTTCCCCCAACCCTTCTAAACATTTGTCATTATCCTCTCAGGCAAAATCCAGCCCTCAAAGTGTAGTTTATAATAGAAGATAACTAATCAAACCAAATCAAATAGAATGGGAATCAACAAGAATTCATTCATGACGGGGCGCCTGGGTGGCTCAGTCGGTTAAGCGTCTGCCTTCGGCTCAGGTCATGATCCCAGGGTCCTGGGATGGAGTCCCACATCCGGCTCCTTGCTCAGCAGGGAGTCTGCTTCTCTCTCTGCCTGCCACTCCCCCTGCTGTGTACACACACTCTCTCTCTCTGTCAAATAAATAAATAAAATCTTTAAAAAAAAAAAAAGCATTCATGCTCAAACAGCAAAATCAAAGAGATGCAGAACTATATATGTTAGTGAACAAGCTGGAAATAAAACACAAAATGAAGGAAAAAAATGAGTAATGCAATATGGTATGCAAATAATTTCAATCCATTCTGAATGGATTACCTAAATTGTAGATCTATCATCTGTAGGAAGAAGTAATAAGGGTATAAATTATTTTATTTTATTATTTTTTTGTAGGTTCCACACCCAGATGGAGCCCAATGTAGAGCTTGAACTCAGGACCCTGCGATCAAGACCTGAGCTGAGATCAAGAGTCAGATGCTTAACTGACTGAGCCACCGAGGCACCTTCAGAATATAAATTATTTTAAATGAGTTTAAAAGTAAGATTAAAAAAACAGAATGACCTTTTACATGAGGTTCCTAGAGTAGTCAAATTTGTAGATACAGAAAGTAGAATAGTGGTTGTCAGGTGCTGGGGGGAGGGAGAATGGGGAGTTAGTATTTAATGGGTACAGAGTTTCAGGAGAGGAAGAGGAAAAAGTTCCAGAGATGGATGGTGGTGTTGGTTGCACAACAATAAAAATGTACTTAATACCACTGAACGGTACACTGAAAAATGGTGGATTGTAAATTTTATGTTCTGTATATTTTATCACAATTTTTTAAGATGCCACTAACAAGCGAGATTCTTTGCATCACTGCAGTCTGTTACCCAGAGATCAGCTGCTATTATAAGATTAGATTCTCCTCACGCTCATGAGAAAATTGTCAACAGCTATATCAGAGCCACACATTTTCTTGCTTACAAGCTCTCTCTTAATAAAGCAAGGACTAAGTTTCCCAAAAGATTCCAACAAACCTTTACTTGAATTTCAGGCAAGTTGGGTATCTGAACCATACCCGGCAAAAGGGATAGGTTTATCCTCAGACCAGTCAGGGTCATACCTTGAGTTGAGAGCAATTCCCCAACTTGCCTTGCTGTAACTCGATGGAAATGAGACAACAGGCGTGCTGAAGAATCAGCCACGGTGGTCACTACTGCCTCTACACAACATCCGCAGCAACCTTGACTCAAGTGCACAGACTAGGGTGTAAAATCTGTGTGCAAAATTCAAGCCATTCTTCCAGCCCTTCCCCAGCTGTCCGCTCCCAGTGCTAGCGACACTTCCCTACATCTCAGTTCTGATGCCTCCCCATGTCTTACCCAACAGTAGTCGGGCAGGTCACATTTTTGGGGGGGCAGGGGAGTAGATGGAGAAGGCATCAGAAAAGAGGCCACATTTACATTTGTATCAATATCATCTAGGAAGTGCCTTGAAAATAGGGGTTCCTGGCTCTAAGCCAAGAAAGGCAGAATCAGAACCTTAAATAAAAATTAAATTAAAAAACAACAACAACAGAATCAGGTGAAAAATAAGTTTATAGACCTAAGAAAACAAAGGTCAAAAGTACATGATTATAGAATTAATAATTAAATCAAAAACTACAAGAAACAAAGTAGACAGCTGAAAATGAGCTTATTCATAGGACAAAGACATGTACATAAATTAATGAAGAGAAGAAAAGACAAAAATACAAAAGATAGTGCATGTAAGGGCCTCATTAGAAGTTCAGAAGAAAAACTTAAGATAGGGTGAGGAACTCAAGAAATCTTCCCCTCGTGGTACAAGCTTGGAGAGGGAAGCAGCAGCTTCCAGGTAGGAAAGGTATGAGGCCTCATTCTGTTCCTTTTTCTCTATCTCCCCTAAGGATCAAAAGCGTAAGAAGTTGGGAAAGGGGCAGCAAACCCTATTTTCCACAAAGTACAGGTTAAGACACAATAACATTGGGAATTAGGAGGGGAGAAAAGCATCCTCTGCTCAGCCCATATCCTCTACCCCTAAAGAAAGGACAGGTAATTAAGAAGGCCCCATCCCTGACCAGGGATGAACCAGATACACTGCACCTGCCTGCAACTGATGCTGAACAAGGACAACAGAGAATGAACTCCCACACCCAATTAGGTGAGCAAGTAACATAGTTACAAATAAGAGCACTCTATTGCTGGGGAATAAACAAGGTCATGGACAGGAACCTTCTCTGAGGTGCAGGTGTATTGGGGACATTTAAGCAAAGGGTAGACATTGAAATAAACCCTCTGGCATTTTCCATTCTAAGCACAAAGTAACAATACAGGAATTTGAAGACAGTGATACACTAAGAGTAAGCACAGCAACATCAAAACCCAAACCCTGCTCAATTCCTGACTAAATTGACTCAACTCATCAAACTGAAGGCCTACAAAAGGAAGAGGTATGTCTATTCCTGTTTACCTCAGTCTCT